TTTAATTTGATCAATTATTATTAACAATGATATGTTTTTAGATTAGTAATCCATCCATTTGAATATTTTCTCCATTTCCCATATGATATTCATTGTTCATATTTTGATTCAAAAAGCACTTTCTTTCCTTTTCAGTTAATTTGATTTGGTAGGGATTGATGACATTGATATTCTCATTGAAGTAGTCATCACTTTCAGCTTCACGAAGCCATCTCCCGAACAACCTATAGCACCTGCCAATTCTTTTAATTTGCAGGACATTGAACACAGTGAAAATATGCTGGCATATAAGGTTAAAGGATTTGTAATAATCACAGTCGCAATAGCACTCTGATAGTAATGTTTGCTGCCTAACTGAAGCCAGGTGATTTTTATGTGATGTCTATTGCTGCTACAGATAGTAGTTTTACTAATGCTGCTGAAGTATTTGCTAGTTTTACAATCGCTGCAGATACTTCTAATGCTTTTGCTGCTGGATAATCAGCATTTATTATTATTAATCTGTGGACTCATCATTACAATAGTTACCTGCATTTAGTTATTCTTGCCTTAACTATTGCTAGTCTTAAACATGCTACTCTAATGATATATTCTATTCAAGATTTTCTTAATTTACGCTTTCTTCATTCTACACTTATATTTCTTAATATGACTAACTCTCTTCTTTCAATTCTATCATTTGCTAAACTTCAATTATACTCTAGGAATCTTCAGTCGCTACTTCTTACTAATAACTTTCATGATTGTTTCTTAACATATTACCAATGTTTTAATCTTAAGAAAGTAGCTCACAAGTGTTTTGGTTAGATACTTACTCTGAGGTATTCTAGTTAGAGCTTAAAGTAGTTGTGCTATAGACCAGAATCACCTTAAATTTAATCCAGTCTGGTGCAATCCATTCTGAAACGATGTACTCTCCATCATAACCATTTTCGAATTTCCTATGAAATTACTTTAACTTGGCTTGATGACTCAGCATGAACTGATACAGCATATGCTCATAAGCAAACTAAGTAAAC